GGGAACTGCTCAAAGAGCGAGACTGACGCGGCGGGTAAGCACCTTACAGACGCCCTCAACAGAGCCACTCTATGCACATTGCAGTCCCCACTCGTGTGCTCATGCAAAAAAGGAACAGGCTCCGGACGCAATGCCAAAGAACCCATGGCACCACTCTTCGCCCTCTCATTAATTATTTAAAAGAGCAAATAGATTCGGCAATCAAAGAACAATTATCGAACACTTGGTGGAAACATTTATAAGGGCTGGATACCCATAACATGAGAGACACGTGGAAGACAAATTAAAGTTTAACAAACTCCAATTATAATATCCCACCCCTTACCTTTAAAAGGGAAAATTGTAAAAGCAATTTAGGAAAAATTAAACGTCCTTGTGGATAATTTAACAAAAAATTGTCAGTATAAATTCGGACGCTGGTCGTAGTTTCACAGTTAGCACTCCGTTAAACAGCCACTGACAGACCGGATGAGGGCTCCAAATAATTCTGAAGTTACTTGGATTGTCCGCCACCTCAAAGCACGCAAAGCAGCAGTGCCTGACGGGATAGAGAACATAATACTTCAATATCTGTCATGGCTAGTTTTCAAAGTTATTTTGAAACTGTTTAATACGAGTATGTCATCTGCGCTAAATAGTTTTCCTGCACAATGGAAAGAGGTAAACATTATTATGCTTTAAAGACCATACGTCCCGACTGAATTACAGACCAATAAGCCTTCTAAATGCCGGTCACGGTAGCCGCGCGGTCCAATGCATGAACTGTCTTCGCTCGCTCGGAAGCCGGGATCGTGGGTTCGGATCTGTTTCCTGTGAGGTACGAACTGAATTCTTATATATTATTCTTATACACTGCCGGTCACGGTAACCGAGCGGTCTAAGGCATGCACTGTCTTCGCTAGCTCGGAAGCCGGGATCGTGGGTTCGGATCTGTTTCCTGTGAGGTACGAACTGAATTTTTATATATTATTCTTATACATTGCCGGTCACGGTAGCCGAGCGGTCTAAGGCATGTACTATCTTCGCTCGCTTGGAAACCTGGATCGTGGGTTCGAATCCCACTCAGGGCATGGATGTTTAGTTTGTGTGTGTGCGTTTTTCTGTGTTTGTGTACAGGTAGAGACCTTGCGACGAGCTGATCACCCGCCCAAGGAGTCCTACCGTATGTGTAAGATCTAGAAAAACCGAAGTAAACGGAGAGTTTCATGGAGGGAGGCCTAAGCCCACTGGGGCTGTAGTGCCAAGGAAAAAAATAAAGTCTTCTAAATTCTTTAGTTAAAGTTTTTGAGAAAATCATTTTGAAAAGACTGAACTTCCAACTTAGGAAGCTGAAAGATATCATAAACTATTAATAAGGTTTTGAAGAAAGACACTCGACAGCACATGCAAAGTAGAGAGCATTGCGCACGGTTTTAACAACAATAAAGTTACAGTAGCTTTATATTCATACATTGAGCGGGCATTAGACAAGACTTGGACCACACGGCCAATTGCTAAACTTATTACGGCAAATTTTCGGCCTCACTTAATACAAATAATGCACAACTATCTCTAGATTCGATTACTTTCTTTAATGCGGTGAAACTCTACATCAGCCCTACGCCCCGTTCAGGGCGGGGTGCCTCAGGGTAGCTTAGTCGGACCAACACTCTTCAATGTTTATATTAATGATATTCCGTCAGTTGAAAATGACTCTATAATAGACATTTCGGTCTATGCTGAGGAAACGAATATTAGTGTTCGGTCAGGCAGTGTAGATATCGCAGTCAGGAAGCTATACCCTCCCATAGGCCTTTCAGAACAGTGGTTCCGGAAATGGAGAATACAGATTAATACAAGTAATTGCAAAAATTACACTGTTTTCTAAACGACTGCGACATTATCGCCTCAGTACGCATCAAGTAAAGATTTGTAACGAAAACATAGCTTTGAGTAAGGAAACAAAGTATATTGGGGTTACACTTGACTCAAAATTAACCTACCGTACCAACATATCCTGCATTTTTCGCAAAGCTAATTACAGACTGAGGTAACTGTTCCTTATCCTAAAGAAATCCTCTAGCGTTAGTAATTTATAAATCACTTCTCCGTTCCATATTAACATATGCCTCCCCTGCATGGAGCTATCCTGCCAAAACCCATATAAATACTATACAGTCATTTCAAAACAAAGTAGCCTCAGGATAATAATAAACTACCGACGGTAACCTTAAATGAAGAGACGGGAATGCCACTGTATGCATATGTAACATGCGGCACTGTGTTCTTTGCTGATACAAACAAAGTTAATTCCATCCATTTATCATAAAATTGTGTTAGACACAGCATTTTTAAACACAATGCTCAAAATTGTTTAAGCGCCCTAGCAGGAACGGACATTGAAACGCAGAGTAGGAACGTGCATTTAAATAAACTCCGGCCAGCTCAAGCTTACACCATTTCAAAAGCCCGGCGTTTAAAGGTTAACAGGACATTGTGTCAAAAACAAGTGTGAAATAACCAGATTCAAGAATTAGGACACTACGAGCCTACGGATGACGAACATCTGCGTCCCGTGTCCCTGCATGAAGATATCCCTCTCGGTAAGGCAAACTTAAGTAACACATAAGCAGAGAATTAGCCGAAATTGGTCATTACATTGTCTCATTGCATGCATCATTCTGCCCCCCCCTCCTCCCCCCGTAACAAAGCTTGAAAGAACAGAAGATCTCTTAGCAGGTAACCAGAATTCTGACAGCCTCGCAGAAGGTCTAGTCCGTCGGAGACCACATCGACCAATTACCTACGCTGGACAATATGGCGGAACGGGAGAAGAGGAGATGAACTATGAACTGTAACATAACAATCCTCTGTTACTGAATGCGCAACAATCCGACCCCCCACCACAACAATAGTTATTCACATTCACCTGTACTCAAATAATTGCAAATATAAATACATGTCTGTATGCATGTACAGTGTTTGCGTACAGGCATGGCTCCTCTTCGCAGATGTTATAAACAACTGTCTGGTGCTCATTCAAAGTATGCTCACAAAATGAAATGCTTGTAAAAACAGATATTTATTTTTTTTTTTTCAAATAAAACAGCAGTCAGATGGGGACTGCCGGCTAGAAGTCAGTTTGCATCCGGAAGTTCCTGCAACCGGCCAACTCGATCAAAGTTTTCCGTAGTTTTCCTCGATACTAGAGCAAAATCTGAGTTCCACGTTGCACAACATGCTTCAATGTAGCCTTCCACATGGTAATATCAAAATTTGTTCCTAATATAGGCCTCCCATTGTTAGATCAGATTTCACTACAATGCAGTACTTCCAACATGCTATAAAAAAGAAGAATGCTTCTAGGATGTAGCACAGTGTAAATACGTTCCTCCGAAACGTCGGTTTACACAATATTTACATGGCGCATCATGCCAGAAACGACATTCTTCATAGACACCGCCGTGAAACCCGCGAATCTGACATGACATAAAAAATAATTCCTATAATATGCGTTGCCTGTACGGGAAGGATTAACAAACACTGGACGCCTTCAAAACCGGACACATAATTACTCCCCCCCCCAAAAAAGTAGTGTTTCTCACTACCTCACCTCTTTCTTTCTCCTTTCCCCCCAACCGGTTAATGCTGTTTAGGGAAAAAGCCGCTGTTTATTGTGAGAACCGTACGGAACACACAGATACACTCTGTGGGTAGAATGCAGTATATAAGAATTCAGTCCGTACCTCACAGGAAACACATTACGTCACCACTACAAAGCCCAACCGGTTAATGCTGCTTAGGGAAACAGCCGCTGTTTACTGTGAGAACCATACGGAACACACAGATACAACCGGTTAATGCTGTTTAGGGAAACAGCCGCTGTTTACTGTGAGAACCATATGGAACACACAGATAAACTCCGTGGGTAGAACGCGTTTTCAACCATTTACACAACAAATATCATGGCTGAATTTACGCGAACTGTAAGCAAACAATAGAATTCATTATTCAAGTGTGTTCGGAATATCATTGTTGAGTGTTTGATATTCGGGAAGATACGGATATCGTAACAATTCTGGACCTTCATTCACCTATGTTTAATGATCTCGTTCGTGAGTTCAATGTATTGAACATGAAAGCTGGAAATCAATTTTCTCTACAATTTTTCTTCACAAACTTTTATGCCCCAATAATTATTTATATAGTTATCCTCGAGATGCTTGAAGAAAATCATGTAAATCCGAATAAAAAACGGTTGCTTCATCTGTCAGATATGACTGCAAATGTAACTTCAGTGTGTAGAAAATGTTTCCAAAATTCCTCAAATATAAAATTTAATTACATTTTTTTCCCTTTGAGTTTTCATGGGTACATGCGAACAGTTAGAGGAAGTGATTTTAATAGGAGCTTCAAAGGTACGCGGAAGCGTTCAAAAACAATAACAGTAGACATAAAAAATAAAACATTTTTGCTGATGTAGCTCTGATTAAGAAGTTTTTAGTATAAGACTCACTTTTATATTTGTAATAACAAACCCGACTTCCCAATTTGTGAAATGAAACTAAATGATCGTCAAAATTTTTGTGACAATGAAGTGTTATTCATCACAAAATTGTTATATCGGATATTATCCATCGATTTAAATTATACTACGTTTCTGAAGCTGGGCTTACTTCCATCATCAGGTGGAAAATTAGAAAGGATCATGCTCAGTTGGGGCCTGTTAGAAGGAACCAGCCTTTATCACTTGATATCAGAGAAAATTCTGAGGACCATGTCGAGCCCAGCTCCTTCTAACAGGTACTTTTCCTTTAACACTGAAGAAGGAAGCTAATTAAACATCCGAAAAGTTGCACAATTTAAATATAAAGAAGACTATGGACAACATAGGATGTAACAATTTTATAGAAATAAAATTTAGTTCTGTTGGCTTATTTTACCAAATATTTTATTTCAATTCTCCGTTGGCAGAAAACTAGTCCTCTCTATTAAAATGCCAATACAAAGAATTGCATTACCTTGAAGGCCAAACAGTTGACTGGGAGCCTTGTTTGCGGCCGACGCCGTGAACCACCCGCCGTATAACAGAGACGCTGCCGACGCCGAAGCCAAAGACGCTGGGTAGGATAAAGATGAATAGGGTACTGCATGTTCATTGTTACATGCAACAGAATTTGGCGAAATCATTTCCAGCATCAACCCTGCAGAACTTGAGGCTGAAGTGTTGTACGAGTTTTGGTGTGCAAAGAACGCCCCGGGACATAACGCCACGGCAGTTGCGGCGCTTAGAGACGGCGGTCGGATTACCGCAGATACCGGCGTCGGGCGCACAAACGTACCGGCGTCATCTAGTCCATGTTTATTCTCATATTCACTAACAGAGACATTGTCACGTTCTGTACCCAAAATGCTAGCTATAGAAAACTTCTTGGTATTCGTTGACGAAGATACGTTCTGTTGTCCAAGTTCTAAACTTCTAGATGTTATTGTTGAAGTTGGTGATTCATGTCTGTGGTGATCTGAAGTAAGTCGAATATCATCATCTTCTGTTTCATTGCTAAAAGAATCATCTTCATCATCATCATCATCTGTATATGATGATACATACACGTCGATATCTTCATCCGTTGAACTCTTGCGCGCTGTCGCCATGATAAACGTATAATATTATCCTGAAAGTTCCAATTAAGTTTCTGATTTGAAATACGTAATAATAATTGTAATATAAAATATAATACGTCACATACCACTGGAACTGATTCAAAAGAAAATTGTTCGTAATGATGCAACAGATTGAAACATTTCAATACTATTTTTTTTTAAATTCTGTCACACTTATTATCGAGAATATAAAACAAACGGTCGTACATTATCATTATAAATATTAAATATATATATCTTCGTTTCATATTATTAATTATATGAACTGCAATAATTTAAAATCATAACTCTTATCCATTATTATGCAGTAAATTACACCAGACCTCGCAGATTATTAAAAAATAATTGTTATCCATATAAGCAGAGAAGGAAAACTCGTGTTAATTGTTATTCACAACAAAAAATTAAGAGTTGTCACACATCACAAATATAATTATTAGTCAATTCTCACGTCGTGCTTACATGCACACTGGAACGAGACTGCAAAAGAGATTCCTTAACGGGGCATAAAATTTGTCCATACAATTTCTCTCACTTAACACCAAAGCGAAGCAAAAACTTCCTAGAAGCTGGTGGCAGTGGAGGGGGGGTGTGGACGTAGGGGTAAATTTCTAAAGGAAAGGAGGAGAAAGGAGAAACCTTACTTCAAACCGATGATCACACTTCTAACACCTTCTTACTCCCATATTCCCTCTAAAAAAGGAGAGAGAAAAATCATTGTCAGTAACACCTCTACGCCTCTCCCCCACCACAACTTACAGTCGTATAGAGAGCATAGATTGGCACTTCGCGTGCTATGAAGAACATAACCTAAGCATCCATCTTCACGCCTCTTACACCCCCACCACTGGCGCCTTCATCAACAGCAGCAGAAATATATTTCCTGCTAGAAATAGCCGCATTAGCACCATTTGTAGCAGTATTCAACACGTTGAGATGAGCGAAACATAGGTCTTCTAGCAGTGTTCCCTTCCACTCCTGCATCTGTGATTTATCCACGGATGGTGCGAGGGAAAAATGGGCTGTGGGGGGGATAGGTGGGCTGAGGCGCACGGAACAAAAGTCAGTGCTGCACTGGCATCAGTATAGCGTGGGTCGAATCCGAGCAAACGTGAGGGGGACAGATAATTTGATTACGAATTTAAAACGTTTAAATATACCATTACTGTTCCACCTAAAAAGGTAAAAAAAAGATAAATCTAGCCCTGTGACAGACCGTGAAGGCCCATAGGATTCTGAGACGTCGAGGTTCCCACATTTTCTAGACAGTCTCCTCACAGACGGCAGTGAGGTTGTCAGTCTTATACGCAGGCCGCGCGATACTCCCCAGGAAAATTATTTAATTAATTCCTGGTACTCATTTCTGTTAGAGGCTGAGTCGACACCAGGGCCATAGTGCGGCTGGAAGGATTAGGTCAACTGAAAATGTCCAATGGCCTCATCGGGATTCGAACCAGCGACTTTCCGGCTTGAAGCATAGTGCCTCAATCAACTACGCTACCGCGTGCCCCCACCAAAGTTGTGATTTCCAAAATTTACATAATGGCGCCCCTCGAGTTAAGACAACAAACATTTAATAACGTCCCCTTCTCAAATATGAACTTAAAAAGGAAGTGTTTCTAATTTTATTGAATTTTGAAACTCAGCTTATTTTAGATTTTCTGTCAAAATGAGAATTTTTATAAGTGTCATGATGCTATCAGAACTATAATGAATTCAATTTTACTATGAAGCTTTCATAGAATATACCAACCAAAGAGTGACCCCTTCCAGGTGGTGCGTCCCACACTTTGGAAATGACTGCTAGAAGAATAATTTATGTGGACATGTCTTAATTTCATAATTTTGGTACTAACGTTTGGTGCATTTTTTTTTTTTTTTATTTAGGTTTACTTTCAAAACATCAAGGGGGGCAGGTACATGATGTTTCCTCCCGCTGGTGCCCATATTCACAGTTCAGACGGAATTTTTATACCGGACTTGTAGTAGCTTATCAATAAATAACTCCGCGGAGCAGAGCCATTCTTGAGAAGCTAGCAGTCGCTCAGATAAGCAGGAAATTGCTCATATTTTATGGAGTCCAAGGCTCCATTATAAAAGTTCGTAGGCCCACACATATTGTTCCGAAATGTGTCAAAATTTGAAAGTCCGGAGCAACAAGAATAAATTAATAAATCTTATTTTTCTGTCTACTTCTAGGGATAGGCTACAACTGGTTCCAGTATCAGTCGAACTGTACTGGTTCTAGCGATGTTCTTTCTTCCTCGTGAACAAAACTTCAAACAGATTTTGACAAAAATAAATTTTATTTTAAAATTCTTTAATATCCATTGTGCAATCGAAACTACTGTTCATTCATCCATTAAAAACTATTAAATATTATAAAACTCATAGCAAATAATTTACCCGTTATTTTGCATGGATGTGAAATATAATTTCTTTATATTTAAGTAAGAACCTGTGTAAGGTCAGTTGATAATTTAGTGGAAAATCTCACCATTTTTTCTATAAACTTTCGTGTTATTAACTTCCCTTACTTTCTACTGCATCCTTTTGCAGTCATAAATGTTACCAAATGAAATACCGAAGCCGAAGTTTAACGCTATTTCCCACGAATAACGCGCATAAATTATCAATCACGACCATCTTCTTTGTGTAGTGTACTATACTTCAGGTATTCACATCAAAATATTATGAATATTCACAGAATAGACACAATACACTAAAACAACAGACTTATCGTTCGTTAGTGACCTATTACATAAATTTCATGCAAAGTGTTACGGATCGACAATTTGTTGCTGTAGGTTCGATTTCGTTTCACCGTAAAAATAAAATTTTATTAATGTTTAGAGAGTTCTAACAAATTTTGAAACCAGAGCCTCAAGGAAGAACTCGGGACTTAAGGCTAAGGAAGTAGATTCTTTTTAGTTTCTCGAAGTGGGGCGAGACTGAGTCAACTTGACACGCCAACCACTAATTGGCCTGTTGTGCCAGCCCCGGATGATAGATGATAAATGTGGAGCATTTGGTGGAATGAGAATTGGCAGGGGAAGCCGAAGTACTCAGAGAAGATCTACCCCAGTGCCACTGTCCACCATAAATTCCAAATGATTTGACCTGCGCTCAAACACGGGTCGCCGCGGTGGGAAGCCGGGGACTAACCGCTTGAGCTATGGCGCGACCTATTGCTAATGAAGTAACTGTTATATGGGTAAAATTAATTTCCGATTAACTTTAAAACTGGACTTGAAGTTGAATGTGACGCAGAAAATATTCTGTGTTTCCATAACCCATTAATAAAAAACAAACTCCGTGGCATGTAGTCCGCGAGCGAACCATACCGACCGAGCGACCGCCGCTTGCCAACGAAGTTAGTGCCAACTTTAGCCAATAGAGAGTGTCGCGTGGTCAACGCAACGCATCCCCACGGCGGTTAATCTCGGTTTTCTAGACCGGAGCCGTTAATTTTCCATTCAAGTAGCTCCTTAATTATCCTCACGAGGCAGAGTGGACCCCGTTCTACTTTTCAGAAAAATCTGGTAGCGCCGGGAATCGAACCCGGGACCTCTGGATCTGTAGCCAGAAACTCTGACCACTAGACCACAGAGGCGGTCTTCACTAGTAACATTAATGATGAATTGTTTGCAGAAAATGTAGCAACATTGCATACGTAATGTCAGGACAGAGACCGTTAAAATGTGTCACCTTTCAACACATGTGGACAAACGAATCTGCACAAATCACAAAGACCACAAATACCACAAAAAATTCTTCTTTACACAGAGGGATCTAACTAACCGCATGGCACAGAAACTTCCTTGACTGACCTGTTGTGTGTTCAGTTACTGAAGAAATGTCCTCTTCACATGCCACACAGAAAGCTTCAGCTCATGTCCGATGCCATACAAAGTAACAAATTGTATATTTATGTTCAAACAGAAAATATTCTGTACTCAAAGCAGCATATATGTCTCAGTTGTTTCGCAATGTTTTTATGTCTCCCCAGACAAATTTCGGGAACTTAAGTGCCATTTATCCTCGACCGACTCCTTTCATATCCTTTCCAAATCATTATTTATTGAACATTTATAGCTCAGTCGGTATAGCGACTGGTTACGGGCTGGACGACTGAGGGGTCGGAGTTCGAGTCCCGGTAGGGGGCAACAATTTTCTTCACATAGTCCAGACCGCTTCTGGGGTCCACCCAACTTTCTATCCAGTGGGTTCCGGGGGTAAAGTGGCCGAGGCGTGAAGATGGCCATTAACCTCTAACTAGTGTCGAGGACAAGAAAACGTGGCTCTATACATCCACTCCCCCATACGCCTTCATGGCGTAGTGCTTGATTAGCTAAGTACAGGTACAATTACGAATTTTTTATGCAAGAGGTGCTCGTTTCGAATATCAGATGGGACACTTGCTAAAATAACTGATATTATTTGTGGTTTACCTTATTTCATCCAGACGAATTCCTGGACATTATTTAAATTAGGCAACGACATATTTTAAGGCCCATTTATGTACCGCTGTAATCCATAGCGTTGTGCCTAGGGGGCATTAAGAAGACTAAATTCTAAAATTGTCCCATTTATAATCCCTTGTCACGAACCGCTTATAGAACACTGCTCTTTGTCGTAATCTTTCGTGGGAACGTGTTCGTTTGCCAAGCCGTTACTCAGTAACAGCTGTCGAATATTTACTTATTCCGTGGTCGTTGCCTAGCAGTCGGCGTTATTTATAAAATAATTATTAAGAATGGGGTTTTCATGTCACAATATTAAAATTAAAAACTGTATCAGGACATAATAAATTAAATGTAAAATTTTGGCAGCGTGCAGTAGATGTTTATGGACGTGATACTGAAGTATTATTAGCCTTTGAAATAGATGGAGGAAGATTAGGTACAAAACATAATAGGCCATATCAATAGATATGAAATAGTATTCAGCCGTCACACTTAAAGAGTGTCTGACATACACAGTTCACTGGA